AATCAATCAAAAACAGATAGCAAAAGGTCACCTGAGTGACTCAGGTAACCTAAAAAATTCAGATTTAAGATTATGACTTACCATTCTAGAAGTATGCAATACATTTATATCTATGATTTATTTTAGGTGTATTATTCATGGTTCATTTAGTTTTATCCCTCATTACATTATTCAGTTTTGAGTTAGTCAGACTTGATGGATAGATGATCTAATCTGGTACATACATTTGCATGTAGACAAAAATTTACCAATGTACAAAAAAGTCATTTTCATTAGAAATTTTATTGTGAAGTTAAACATTTATGCAAAAACATACTTAAAAGCACAGTTTTTGTAAAAAAAAAAAAAAAAAAAAAAAAAAGTTAGAGAAAAAAAGTGCTCAAAACAATAAATATTCCTCAATGACTAGAAATTGTTGACAACACAAAAGAACTGTTCAATTTATTTTTAAAAAAAATACACCATAAAACAGATAAAATTGGGATTAACACTAATTTAAATAACTCTTTTAAAAATACTTTTCCTCATGAAATACAAAATTCATAAGAGGCAGTGGATTAAAAGCAATAAACAATTGGTATATTCAGTATGACATGATAAAAATGTTGTTTTAAACAGATAAGCTCAAGTGAGGACATTAATATTTATCTGAGATTCCTCTTCAGTTTAGAACAGCCCAATATCTTTTATCACAGATGATTCAATAAATAAATAAAATTTTAATGACAAAGCAGAGAAACAGTAAAAATCATAAACATCTGTTAATGACATAATTATTAATTATTCCCATATACTGTAAACCAACTTTTATTCACATGCAAGTAAACATCTGAAAGTTTTGCAACCTTCTTTAACAAATAATTCAAGCCATAAATCATTAAATATTCTAAGAAGCGTACATGTAATCTATGTATAATATTTCCTCATTTGCATAAACTAATAGACATGCACAGATTGGTTTCAAACTGACAATTTTTTTTTTAATTTGTTTACAGCATCTACTTTCAATTAACTCTAGTCAATCACAATTATTTTAAACTAGAAAAGTGACTAAGTCATAAAGGGGCCCTGCAGTGGCCTTCTATCAATAAACTAGAAAAGTGACTAAGTCACAAAGGGGCCCTGCAGTGGCCTTCTATCAATAAACTTGACCTTTTAAGAATTTGCCTTGATATTTAGTATTGTGTAGTGCATGTTGAAATAAGTTTTGTATAATATTTTTTGGGGGGTACATAAAATGCAAACAGTTTTTTGAGCAATTGCATCTCCTAAAATAGCTATATAATATATTGTGTCCCCTAGGTGCTGACCCCTGTTTAAAAATGAACCAAAATAATTTAATTAACCATTTTTATTTGTGTATTTAATATAAATTGTACATCTGAAGCAATTCAAGCCATTGCATCACAATCACCATATAAGTAACCTTGCCTCTTGACCTTTGACAAAATGACTCCCAAAGAGCTAGGTTCACTTGATGCATAAAATGGCCCTGTAGATATACCAATTTATTGACTATCACCCTATGTTCCATTTTAAACATCAAGATAAAGTAGAGACTTAGTGCTTTAATTTCCTATTAAAATTTTTCTCCTTAAAGTCCAGGTCTTGGAAAACAAGCTTTATGGAATTGCAATGTTCTTGAATTTTAAAGAAAACAGGTGTATTTAAGTACTTTCAGAGAAGGAAAATAATATGAGCGCACCCTCTGATCTAAAAAATAATACATGTTTTGTAATCCTCAAAAACGGTTCTATCAGTAAATAATTGCATATTTTAGATCAGAGATTGCGCTCTTTATTAAATATCGAAAAATAGCTTTAAAAATTGCCAGTTTTTGTAGAATTGTTCAGGACATGAGAAAAATGACGCATTTCATGACGTCATAATGCATTAACTAGCCAGAAAATTACGTCATATTTGGTAGATTAGCAATTGCCAAATGTCTAAATGAAATTTAATGCATTGTCAACCAAAACTAAGCAGTTTCAGTTTTTCAGAAACTCACAGGGCCAAAAAAGGCCCTAAGTGAACCTTGTTCTTTGTATGTTCCATTTCCATGGCATTCTTCACCTATATACTGAAAATTAGAAAATTCACTGAACTAACTTCAGTGCCAAGGTACCTGCAAAGTTTCTGGTACAAATATATTTTAGCACTACTTAGAATTCTATCAAAATTTAGAAAAGTTTAATCCATCGGTTGGATTTTATGTGTTTTGTGTTCGTTAGTCATTCATGCATAAAGAAATTGGATTTGACTCATTTCTGTGATATATTATTTTTCAAAGTTCTTGAATACAATTTTTTTGAATATATGCAGTACAATTTGCCTTTTATTATAACAGTTTAATATAATAATAAGTTGTTTATATTTGATAATAGATTTTTAGGCAAAATTTTTTAATATCCTATGTAAATTCTGTATGTTATCATACTAAATAAAAATGTACACTCCCATAACTAAGATAAGAAATAGTTGTCTATTTTTTTCACATTTTCACCCCTGGGTGTCTCTCTCTCAAAAAAAATTTCCAATTTCTGCTAGACACCTATCCGTCACTTGTCTATAACTTTACAGACAATGGAAGGATGAAAGAATATTAATTATGCTCCAATGCAATTACAAGTACTTCAACTATGGACACAGTGCTCATTTATTTCATGAAGTCAGTTTTTAACTTTTACAACTTGCATATCAATTTGTTCACTTTATTTATTATTAACTGTACATTGATAATGAGTGTACTGTATAAATAAAGAATGGAGGCCGGAATACAAGATGAGAAGTTTCTGTCAAATGTTTACCACAGTAAGATATTGTAAATGGTTCCCTTAAAACGAAAATATGAGAAAGGGAAAGAAGATATGTCTGTCTAGCAAGTTAACTAATACCAAAATACAAGGTGGACAAATCTGTGCCACAGTTCACCATAAGGCCTCAATATCCTGAAGACGTTAGTCCCATGCCTTCATAAATCCATGAAAATAAGTGAATTTCCATGAAAGAATTATACAGATACAAAGGAAATACGTAGAAATTTCCAATGTGTACATGCAGGCAAACATTTTATGACTACCACAGAGAGTTTTCCGCCTGAGCAGCAACTGCTCTGTAGGATTTGAAAAGTATAGTTAATTGGTCCATCAGAGACACCCTTTTCAGCATGGTTAATGGAAATGCTTGTCACCTTCACAATATCAACAGAAAAGAAAATTGATCTTGTTTGTTGACAACTGTATTACTCATCCTAAGGAATCAGCCCTAAAACTCTCCAACATCTCTCTGGAATTTCTTCCCTCCAACACCACTTTGATTCAACCTTATAACTAATGTATCATTAGAAAATCTAAAATCCAGCTACAGAAGTGAGGATGTGAAGAAAATCATTAGCAAGATACATAATTCAGAGCTTCCTGGCAAAGCACGTCACATTGCTTGATCCAGTACGTTAGGATAAACATCACATAGTGATGCGGACAGAAAGATTACAGGGAGAATGATTAGACACCAATCCAATGAATTCAGAGACGACAATGATATTCAGTGTTATCATTTGCCTACTTTTAAGAATATATCTGTGGAATTTATAGCAGAGACATGACAGTGATATTCAGTGTCATCATTTGCCTACTTTTAAGTATATATGTGTAGAATTTATAGCAGAGACATGACATTGATATTCAGTGTCATCATTTGCCTACCTTTAAGAATATATGTGTAGAATTTATAGCAGACATTTAAGTTCCTTACTCCCTTAAAAAGTGATTTACAGTATATTCATTGTAAGTTGTTAGTGTTTCATAATAATCAATATGTCAGTCAAGGAAACCTGAATAGTAAAAACAAAATGAACATTAAAATGCTATAAATTCTACACATATATTCTTAAAGGTAGGCAAATGATGACACTGAATATCATTGTCATGTTTCTGCTATAAATTCTACACATATATTCTTAAAAGTAGGCAAATGATGACACTGAATATCATTGTCATGTCTCTGCTATAAATTCTACACATATATTCTTAAAGGTAGGCAAAATGATGACACTGAATATCACTGTCATGTCTCTGCTGGATGAACAATTGCAGAATGTAATGGATAAACAAAGTGTGTCCAGGAAAGTAATAAATTAGTTGTAAGAAAAAACTAGCATACATTATTATTTAGTGCACATATAACATTATACTAAAGGTATGTCATTGCACTAAAGTTGCTTTAAAACAATAACAGTTATCATTGTCACATAATTTGCACAATCTTGACCTCTGACCCTCAAATTTTACCATCAACCTCAAAATCAATACATGTAGGTATTTTCCTCTGACCATTTGCCACCTATGCAGTACAAATGACTGTGTATCTCACTGCATCACATAAATGTTCTTAATGGCCAGAGCTAGACATTTGCATTTGTTCACTTGTCTGGTACCAGTAAAATTTTTCACAGACAAATAAATATTGCTAGGCACTTGTCTATAATTAGACAAGTGCTTTTTCTGTGAGAAATTCTTTTATAAAAAGTTGAAAATGAAAAAAAAAAGATCTCAACTTTTGACCAAATACAGCTAAACCTCATTCTCTCGAACTTGATGGGACTAAGAAAATACTTCTAGATATCCGAGGATTCGAGATATCCAGGGTATAATACTTATGAAATAAGGGCTTGGGACTTCAAATTCACTTTGACATATCCATGGTATTCGGGATATCAGATCGAGATACTGAAGTTCAACTGTAACTTCAGACACTGCAAATGTCACCCCTTATCATTCCCCAACGATGTTGTAAAAATGAAAAGAACTCAAACTATAATATCACAGAAGTATGGCAGAAAGACAAAGTGATTACTCTTGATGTGGGCCCTAATCAAACCTTATTTCATATGTCATTGACCTAATTAAAAACTTTTAAAATTAACTGAATACACTTTAAATAAGCTTTGCAGTGAATTAAACAACAATTCTCTCATTAAGCCTAAAGGTTTTGCTCAGAACCCTGAAAGAATGTTCCGTGGAATTTTTCGTTTACATTAAGCTGACTGAAAGTAGAAATTTATAGCTCGACTGACATCGTAATCAGCAGCTAATGCAAACTGAATCAGGTCGTCCTCTGGTACGTCATCCCCAATCACAGCACGGAGGGCGGAGATACACTCAGCTAGCCGGGCATGATCTGTGCCTACTCCGCCGTACTCGTCAAAACAGGAAGAAGAGGAAGAAGAAGACGAATACCTCTATAAAGTAAAGACAGATTTATTACGACTCAAAGGTCTCCATACACAGCCCTTCTCTTGACCTTTATCGTCAAACAATTTAGCAGAAGAAATCAAGTCATGTCCATCTTCAAACTGATCTTAAACAATGATTTCAACTCACAAATCTAAATGCAACACACATTTTTTGAACTTTTGTTGAAATAAATCATAAAGTATAGTGGTACATATAGTTGTGTTACCTAATTTATAATTTTTGGTTCTGATACTTAGAAAAAGTCTTAAAATAGTCGATCTTCTTTAAGTGCATTTTCCTAAGTATATACACTGTACTTAATTCCACACAAAGTTCATTCCATATGCTTAAAAGTGTTGGTTATTTTCCTATGAGTAATGTAAACAAACATTTAAAACAAAAACAGTAAAATAAAAACTCTATAACAAATAAACAAGAACAATCCTTTTGCACCAGGTTAATAAGGAAGGGCCTGTACAAACTATTAACAGGCACAAAGCCTCTGTCTGGTTCAATTCAGACACCTCACCCGAGTCACCTGTTGTACAGACCCTGGGGTATAAGAAAAACTTACCCTGCTCCTAGTCACCTGCACTTGTCCAATCAAATCCTCCACATCTTCCTGACTAGATAAGCTGCTAGAGGTCTCAACTCGACCACTCCCCTCAACATCACTGGAAAATAACAGGTTATCTCTTCCAGAAATCTGGAATTTTTTAAGATGGTATATACTATACAATTATGGACTTCAGTGTAGGTCGATATGTGGTTTTAAGGATGCATGTCAAGTGATACTGACCAAAGACACAGAAAGTTATAGTGACCAAGCTTGCGAAGTTGCTATCATTTTCTGTGTCTGAGGTCAATATCACATGACATGGGTCCTTATAACCATATATTGACCATTCACTGAAGTCCATAATAGTTACATTATATAATCACTCAAAGTGAATAATCTACACAGTCTTAAGTGAACAAGACTTGTCTGTCATTACATCACAATGGTAAAAACATGCTTTTTATATTATGACGTAACTCCGGTGCAGCCGAACGCTGGGTCATGCGATATCATATTCTGCAGACGCACTTTCGCATCAATATCACTAAAGAACGAATGTCAGGTGACATCCTTTCAGCCAATGAAAATTACAGAAATAGTCTACTTATATAACATTAATTTTTATATTTCTAAATTTGGCAGATTCACAACATTGCATTAATGGCTCATATATACATGTACGCTATATTCAAAGGGGGCAAGAATATTTTTTTCCCATTAACTGACGTAAAAATAGGCCTGTGTTTTTCCTTAGTCATCCTGTTTGCTTACATGCATTCAAAGAAACTCTGTTAATCCAGTCAGTTTGTGTGTGACAAAATTTTCAGGTCACTTCACTCACTGCACACATAGTTCAGGTACACAAGACAATGCCTTCGGCATTTATGCAAATTACATAAAACCAAAAAAACTAGACAGTTATTCCTTAAATATATACACAAAATCCTTTCAATAATTACCCTTCCTCCTTGATAACATCCTCTATTTCTGTACGGAGATGTGGGGGTAGCTGGCAAAAGACTTCACAATTCTTCACATCTGGATGGTTTCCAAGGTAACTTAAAACTTTGTCCTAAAAAGGGACAAAACACTTACTACAATATCCTTCCTTCCCTACATGAAGCATATTATTTAATACAATATTGCTCCAAGTTTACCATGTAGAACATTCAGGTATAATAGGGACATGCCAATTTTAAGTTTCTTCAAGAAATGAAAGATATTTTTTAAGACGTGCCATTCTTCAGAGTTTTCTTCTCAAAAAATTTCTAAGGACATGCTCATTTCTCAATTTTTTTTCCCTCCTCAAAATATTCATGTATTCTGGGGAAACATCCATCTTCACACTTTTCTTAACAAAATATTCAGGTTTTCTGAGCACAAACCAACCTTAAGAATTTCTCCCTCAAATATTAAGGTACTGTAGATCACAAAATGTTTGCAGCACCATATTTTTGCAAGGAAGTTATTTATAAGCAAGACAAATTTTCAAAAATTTTGCCTATTGTTATAACAGTGCTTTACAATACAAATAGACACAAAAATAAAATTTTATGATAAGGCAGTCTCTCTTAATAATGTGAAAATAAAGTTTATGTGAATAAATAGTGATTTACAATTATACAGTAAATCTCAGTATAGCAAAGTCCTGTGGACCTTTGAATTTAATTCACTATATCTGTTATTCATTACATCTGTATAGCAAATTCATTAAAGTATATATAGCGAATTCACAACATACATGTTTTCCTTCAAGTTATGACTAATGAATATGTTCAGTTTACTATTATGAATTTTGAGGTCTTAAAAATATTCTTTATAAAAGATGTAAATTTTGTTATTTTTTACCTCTACTGGACACAAAATCAATTCCCTATATCCCAAATTCACTACAACAAAGTTAGTTATAACCATAAAATTTTACAAGGAATGGCTAAGAATTTTGCTGGGGATTCCAAAAAACTTCACTTTATCAGTAATTTCAATATATCAATATTTCTACTAAATGAATTTTACTGTACATGAATTCACAAAATGTTTAGAAATTCTGAGAATACATGTATATCAAATAGAGCTTTTTTTCTCAAAATGTCAGTGTACATGTGTTCTGAGGACATCTGAATTGTAACATCTTACTTCTTACACTGTTCTGTTACACAGACGAGGCACAATAAGGTATTCAACGTATAACGACCATATTTTGTATCTTATAAAAATATTTAAAAAAAAAAAAATTAAATATATTTGTAATTATGGTATCATTTTGATGGTGTTGTGAAATAAAAATACTCCACCAAAGAAATGTTAAGAAATTTGATTATTGTCAAATTAATTGCACCTTGAATTTTACAATGAAGTCTATGGGCAATGCATGCATTATTAAGATATTGTAAAAAGTATTTTAAAATTCAAAAAAAGCTCTTGGTGAAAATATGCATACACTCTCTAATTATTAAAATATGAAATAAAATTAATCATTTACCACATATTTTTTGACGAAATTAAATTTTCTTCTTTGCATCAAGGGCAGATAACTCTTCAAAAACTTTAAAAGTGCAAAATTACCAGCTTCTTTTATGTTATCAGTCATGTGAATTTGGTTCATTTCACTTTCATCATTATCTAGCAATGCAATTTTAACTAGTTTAAAATGATTCAAAATTGTTCAAACTCCCTTCATTATACATTGAATACCTTAAGGTATATCTGTTCTGAGGACATCTGAATTGTAACATCTTACTTCTTACACTGTTCTATTACACAGACAAGGCACATTAAGGTACATGTGTTCTGAGGACATCTGAATTGTAACATCTTACTTCTTACACTGTTCTGTTACACTGAGGAGGCACATTAAGGTACATGTGTTCTGAAGACATCTTACTTCTTACACTGTTCTGTTACACAGACGAGGCACATTAAGGTACATGTGTTCTGAGGACATCTGAATTGTAACCTTACTTCTTACACTGTTCTGTTACACTGAGGAGGCACATTAAGGTACATGTGTTCTGAAGACATCTGAATTGTAACACCTTATTTCTTACACTGTTCTGCTACACAGACGAGGCACTTACCTTAAGAACTTTTTTCTGGAACTGGTCAGCAATACTGAGGAGGTACAGAGCCATGTCACCATCTACATGGTGTAGTAAGATCTGCTCACACACCTGACCAAGGTTGTTCACCTGTAATATCAGGTCAAAATAACATAACTATAAACTACCTGGTATGTTTGCATGGTGGGATATAACCATGTAACAGACCTGTCCAATTTCAATGTAACAATCTTTGAAAATTTAAAGAAATCAGATTCAAGAAAAAACATAGGTAATTAAAGATTACGAAGCTCACCTCGACCAATGTTAGCTATAAGTAAGGCAAATTTCACAAAAATTTTTTTTTTCTAGTTAGGGTACATCCCAAGATCAATATCCATGCAAGTTTGGTTTAAGTAGGACTTATAGTTACTTGGAAATAGACCTGCTCAAAGAACTTTTAAGCTGTTTAGTAATCAAGAAAATTGTGGTGAGTTTCAACATCCAAAGCAAGTCTAGAAGTTTTAATCCTTAGATGCACCATCTATGCAAGTTAAATCATAAAAGGCCATAATATTATAAAGCTTCTCTAAAAAATTACCCTGGTCACTCATCTGGAAAATGTAGGTCAGATTCAGCAGGGTTCGACACTAACTTTTTAAGGCTTTAGTCCAGCCGGACTAGTGCTTCATTACTTTTACTAGTCCGCACGCGATTTTATTAGTCCGTCAAAAAAAAGAAACATCAATGTTTTTTAACATTAATTTAACGTGACAATATAGTATTATTTTTTGAAATAAACAAAGTATTTACGTGAAATATATTATTCTACAGATTCATTGAAATCTCGCAATCAGCAAGTACGATCGTATTCCAGATCTCCGGTTTTTTTTGTCCTTACATCCAAAACGTCTTTTGTCCTTACATCCAAAACGTCCAACATCTTTCTTAAAAGTGTCATACTAAATCATGTTTGTTAAAACCTTATACTTCATATTGATTAGTCGAAAAATTAAGCGCTGAATTGACCCAGCATTGCGTAACTACCCGCCAAAAGCTAGAAATCTAAAAATACACGCGGGGTTTTCCAGTAAAAGTTGTCGAGAATCGGACATCGGTACTTTATTCATATTGTTTTTCAGAAATTTTTATTAGTCCGTTCGGACTAATTAGCCACATATTTTATTAGTCCGAATGAAAATGTATCAGTCTGAGACTAACGGACTAACGTTAGTGTCGAACCCTGTTCAGAATCCAAAGCAAGTCTGGAAGTGTCCATCCCTAGATACATCATCCATGCTAATTTGGTTAAAATATAGCAAAAATTCGCTCATGTGGAAAATCTAGGTCAGATCCAGCATCCGAAGCAGGTTGGTTAGTGTCCATCCCTAGATGCATCATCTATGAAAGTTTGGTCCAGGTAGGGCTTATAGTTACTTGGGAATAGGACTGCTCTGAAATCTAAACCTGGTCTTACATGTGGAAAATCTAGCTCAGGTCCAGCATCCGAAGCAAGTGTGGTAATGTCCATCCCTGGATGTATCATCCATGCAAGTTTGGTCAAGGTAGGGCTTATAGTTACTTGGGAATGCACCTGCTCCAAAAACTTTAACCTATCCAATCATCTAGAAAATCTAGGTCAAATCCAGCATCCGAAGCAAGAGTGGTAGTGTCCATCCCTAGATGCATCATGCATGCAAGTTTGGTCCAGGTAGGGCTAATCATTACTTGGGAATGGACCTGCTCCAAAAACTTTAACCTTGTCACTCATCTGGAAGATCTAGGTCAGATCCAGCATCTGAATCAAGTGTGGTAGTGTCCATCCCTAGATGCATCATGCATGCAAGTTTGGTCCAGGTAGGGCTAATCATTACTTGGGAATGGACCTGCTCCAAAAACTTTAACCTGGTCATTCATCTGGAAAATCTAGGTCAGATCCAGCATTTGAAGCAAGTGTGGTAGTGTCCGTCCCTAGATGCATTATCCATGCAAGTTTGGTCCAGGTAGGGCTTATAGTTACTTGGGAATGGGACTTGCTCCTTAAACTTTAACCGGGACGCCGACGCCGACACCGGGGGTATAGCATAAGCTCATCTCGACTTCGTCGAGGTGAGCTAAAAATACCAAACATGTTTTACAATGTATATCCATTTTCAGAACTCAAGCATTTCTGAACCCAGTAAATCTATTTTCTGAATAAGCCCAACAAATTCCACTTTTTTTTAAAAATAATGTATACAGATACATCAATTCCTTGTAAATGCAATTACTCATTTCAAGCTTTCAGTGTAGAATTACCTCATATCTGTCTGCCAAGGTAAGTAACTCTGTTAGTTGATCTGTCGACAAGGAATCAGACTGAATGCCACCACTGTACAAAAACTCCAAAAACATGGTGAAGATCTCAGGATTTGTATCGTGGATGGTTATTTTTCTGCAACAATTGTTCATCAAGAAATTAAAAAGTAAGAGAACTGCTTTCATCAAACATGGTAGTACATCAGGAAAAGTTATAATTCTAAATCTATATTTGATGCAGAAAGAAAGCCATTTGTGATTTTAAAAATTCATTTTTCCTCCAACAAAAATCACTTTACGATTAAATTTATTTTTCTATCATAACTGAAAGAGCCAATATCTTATATTCAGAATGTCTGTGGAATTTTTCCTTAATTCCACTGAGTCAAGCCATTGAACTCCCTCATCCCACCAAGTAAGCCATTGATAACCATTTATGGAGGGCTGCTGGGTTTTTCTTACTTGTCTATGGACTCCCTCATCCCACTGAGTAAAGCCCTTGAGAACCAGTTACAGCGGGCTGCTAAGATGACACAGTGGGCAGGAATCTGATGGATCTCCACATCATGGTCATCCTCTTGTCTCTCAATGGGATCTCCATGAGTATGGTCAATCACAATGTCTCCCATATCTACAGATATACAATATATTCATGATTCCTTATCTTACACTTGTATTTAATTCATGGAATGGTATTTTTCAATTGAGCCCTCAAACTTACAAAGGTAAGAGGGAGCTTTCCTGTGTTACCTTTTCAATACAGACATGGTATTAACTTCAATTTTAGATGCTGTAATGTTTGATTTTAAATATGCTACAGACTATAAATCTCTGATACAAGTCTGAAGGTTGTACACCACACTGTGAGGTAAATATTCTACTGACCTCGAACAAGAATGATTTCAAAGACCATGTCAGTATTCCGTTTCTTCCTGAATAACTCCAATGCATTCTGTGCTAGGATACACTTTTTTGATGGAGGAGGTATGCACAAAGATTCCACAGAACTTAACTGAAGTAGATTTTAAAAATTTTATACAATGTCTGAATGCAAAATGTTCTTGATCTACAGAATAATTATAAACAGAATATCTAATCATATGCTTAGATCTCCACATTTCCCATCTAATAAAACATAACTTAAAAACTTTCTTCAAGGCCCAGGATCCTGAAACAGATTTAGACTTTAATCAAAATTTCAATCATTTATAAAATGTTTCATACTTGTGAAATGAAACTCTTAATTTGCATTTCACAGCAGTCTGATGATGCAAAATTGTAAATCATTTTCATTTTGAACTGCTTTACTTCTATCATATACATTATTTTTACTTAAGCTTAAGATGCTTCATGATCCCAGGGCCTGATATATAAAACAGATTTATTAAAAGAGTTGTCAATTAAGCCTGTTTAACTGTTTAAAACAGTTGATCTTACCCTGGCATACTTGGTGTCTACTGTGGATGTGGTTTCTCCCTTGTCCCACAACCCCAGAGCTGCCAGGGTGGCGGTGAATTCTTCTTTGTTGACTAGTTTTACCATCTGTTCTATACTACTGGAAAGCGTTGATTTATAGCTGCGTAATTTGTGTACACCCCATGCCTACATTAAGAAGGATTTTTTTTACCAGTTTTTTTTTTTTTTTGCTCCTTACAGTGCGATGTGCAATGTGAGTACTAATTTCAGTAAGATTCGTAGTTTGGCTTTGTGTACCCCTAATCTGTGTTTGGATATGGAATTATAAGTACATGTAAAACATACCTTTCTGTAGATAACTTACTATTTTGGAGGAACTCAGTTTGAACATATACTTCCATTCTTTCCATTTGTATTTTTCCTCTAAAACTAGAGCCAAGTGCTGCATTCGATCAACAAATAGAGGGGCCTACAATATTAAACATGTCAATGTACATGAATAAATGCACTGAAAACTAACAAGCTGTCAACAGGAGTAAAACACAACCATAGGCCCATGGGTCATAATGCTAACCTGAGTCAGCAATCTCTTATGGATATGAAAATAAAAGAAACCTCTTATTGTCACCTGCAACAAATCCATGATTTCACCAGTTTTAATTCAAAGTATATTTAGGTTTGATGCATAAATTACAGGTGACTCTCAATACTTTGAAGATTTCGGGACCATGGACAAAACTTCTCAAAATCTCGAGTTTGACATTTAAAGAGTGTGGAAATACCCAGTTTCTTCATTGGTTTTATATTATTTGAACTGTAACTAATTTATTCTCATACACAACGGTACTAAAATTTTAGTTTACTTTAACATTCCTTTGTATTTAATGTGAATACACAGATATGGCTATAAATTTATTAAGATAAATTTTTACTCTTATTCTATCCATTAATTCCTCATATTAAAGTATATTTGTATTTACTCCCAATAAAATGACAAAAGTGTGTTACATTGTTTGTTTGCTATCAAACACCATTAAATATTAAATATTCAAAAGATAAAGTGTCAGTTTACATTGCATAAATATTCACATAAATAGAGTCATGTATTATGACATTTATTTGAGTTCTTTGCATTTACATGTAACTCGTAAAAAGTTGATTGCCTTGATCATGGTCATTCAAAGTACACAATAAAATTAGCGCCTTTTCTTTTAATATGTATGTTTTTAATATTTTTAAATTTCTTTTTGAAATTATCTTCATTCTTCTCATATTAACGTAGGTCGCGGGTTTGCAGGCCTTTTAAAAGGGTCCGAAAACATACCATGAAAATTGGTTATATGATTCCTCTACCTTTGTTTTACATTCTATGAAAATTATATAAAATTCGTCTGCATCGTTTTTATGTAATTGAGTCACCTTTTTCTTATGTTTGAATTCTAATATTTACTGTATGTAATCAATAATGTAACCATTTTGTCTCTTTAAGCTGTTTTTAAATATATCGTTTTTAAAAATATTGACCTTTCCAACAAGCCGAAAATTCCGAGCTCTCCGGGATGCGATTGATAACACATAATGAAAGGCTTTCTAATACTTCCAGTGTTGGATTCGAATCGTAATAAGCCTTCATTATATTTGATAACTTCAGTTTGTTCTACAATGTATATTATACTAAACTACCATTTCCACAAAAGTTATATCTAAATATTGTAGCGACTATTCAAATTGCAAAAAAGCCTCCATTATTTGTGATAAGTTGTGCCTTAAATAATATAATAATAAAATACCAATTCCAACAAAAGTTATAGCTAGATAATGATGTACTGAAATTTCTTTTTCGTGACGTCATAATCAAATGTGCAAAAAAAAGTCACCCAAACCATATAAATTGCGTACTCAGTTTTAATGACGTCAGCAAACCCACGACCTACGTTAATTATTTTAAGTGCAGGTGATAATTAGCTGATAATTACTGTCACCCTGCAGTCCTAGTGCTGTGGCACTTGTATAAACATCCCAGTACATGTGTCGCCTGTCTACGTCTGGAGCATTTCATTGTCCAGGTAAAGGTGCTAATTAGGTCTCGTTTTGATATATATATATATAGCAACTTAAAGGTATTCAATGGCAAATTACAATAGAATATGCATAATGGACTGCATGTTGACTTCCACAGTTCAAGGGTTTCTCGAGATTGAGAGTTGAGAAATGAAGAGTAAATTTGCTTAGTAAATCAGGACCAGAGACTCACTTCAAGAAATCAAGAACTTCTCGAGATCGAATTTGAGCCATCAAGAGTTACCTGTAAGAATTGTAGCTACCTAATTGGTCCTATAGTTCTGGTATGCGAGAAATGCATTAGACTTGTTTCTACATGCAAAAGATCGCAACAAATAAATCCACCCACCTCACTGTTCTTCAGGGCATCCAGTAGATACACTATTAGGGGAATCTTCTCAGCCTCAGTTTTCTTGCTGAATACATGCCTAAAACAATGACAGTAACATTCAAGAATTCTTTAGAATTCACCATCAAGTGCTTACAACACAAATGATAGATAACATTCAAGAACTCTTCAGGAATCTACACCATCAAGTGACTTATGAATAATATCTTAAAATCTATAAAAAAAAAAAAAAAAAGACATTGAAAGAGATAAACTTTCGATTTATATTCTATGAAGAGACAGCAAAAAATTTACACTAATGAAAAAAAATGACACATGTACAAAGAGTAATGCTCAAAAGTCTATTGAAAAATGCAAACTGTGAGCAGAGCGAACACAGACCTCTAAATCAGAAGTATGTTCAGGTGCCTTAGAGGAGTAAGCATCCCCTATTGCCCGGTTCACATCCACCTTGTGCTCTTTGTTATGATTGGGTAAAAAGAGAAATCCATATTAAATACAGTATGAAAATAATGGCCTAACAATGTGTATGAAAGGCATCAGTCAACATTTGACGAAAAGACAGATTGTATTTGCAAACAAGGTCATTGTATCAACCACAAAATTTGTGAAAGGTTGGCATACAATGAGATTGTGGATACCCTCATATCATCAGCTTGTTTGTCAGCAGACTGGCTTGTTTTAGAAATTGTTCATATGAAGAACATCCTTTTGCACTTTGAATCAACTGCGAGACATATACCCATGAAATGCAACTAGTAATGGTATATTTCTACATAAATAAGTTAGTTTGCCATCAATGTCTTTTTCTAGTAAAATATCTACATATGAAGCAATTGTGTCAGACTCAGTGGTGTCCCTTGAGTTCAGTTGGATATATTGGTAGGAAGATTTGCAAGTTCCATTCTTATTAAAAAGCAGTTGTTGATGATGTCAAAAAGCCTGGTCTTTAATTTATTGCGGGGAATAGTTGTATAAAGTGTTGAAAAGTCACACATTTTAATGCTATTGATTCTGGTAAAATTTTGATTTCAAATTTTCTTAAAGTTCTTTATTTTAAAGCATCGATCAACTTCATTTCACGAATATGATGTTTAACAGTACTGCTGAAATTTCTCCTTTACTGCTGTTCACATTTTTATGAGAAGTAATGAAAGAGGCTTGGTAGAACATTTGCTCGATCCCACTATCCTGCCATCTCTGTTCGTAAGGATTTTTATGAAGTTTTGAATCCAATATAGGTATGGTAATTTAAAATCAATTTGGTTGTAAGGAATATTTTAAAATATTTAAAACTGACATGTGATTTTGAAGAACTTCTTCCTTAGAAAAGGAACTATAACTTGGATTACCACTTGCAGAATTAAATCCAAGTTGATCTAAAATGTAATTTTTAATAATAAGCCTTACAAACAAAGACTACTGTATGTGTACATGAATTAACGTATTCAAAATTTAGCGCAATCTCCAGGTATGGAGTGGTTGGCGTAGTCATGAATTAGCGCTCACATGTTGCGCTAAAAAAATAATAAAAAGTTGTTCTAGGAGTTTTAGTACAATTTTAATATATTTAACAAAATTAAATATCGTGTTAGATTATTACTGTTCAATTAGCGTGACCACCTGGCTGAAAATAGCCCTAAGGTATTTATTGCACGGTCGTAGTTTGGTTCTTGAGCAGATTTTCGGTGAACATTGTTTCAAAGTTCTTTAGGTCTAATAAAACTATTTATTTGAATCTCAAAATGCTATGAAAGTGGTTGGTATCGGCAAAAAGCTCTGGCCCTCCCTCTCCCTTATTACCGGATCCCCGTTCAGCAGGCTCTGACAATGATGCAGAAATCAATGCATCTGCAAATGCTGAAATAGTAAATATTCGTAATCTGAAGAAAAAATTTATTTTCATGAAAAAAGTAACTGGCGAGGAGTCCTCAGTGCTGGAAAAAGTGCCAAGAGGAAAACCGGTATTATTAGGGGAGTACGATGAGCAAGTACAGACCTACATTACCGGATAAATATTTAAGGGAAATGGGAGGTGTTGTGACCATTCCAATCATTATTGGTGCTGCAAAAGGAATACATGTAATTAAAAAAAAAAATAAGTGTCTCCTTTCGGAATATGGGGGACACATCACAGCAAGAATCACTGGAGCATTTCAGAGACAATGCTAGAATACTTGGAAAAAGTTTTAATCCCGTACGTGGAAGATATTCATGAAAAAGCTACCACTGTAGAGATCCGATCAACAAGCCCTGTGTTTATTTGATGTCTACTGTGCACACACAGTCGATGCTTCTCAAGAAAAACTTAGATCAGCCGGCATAAACTTCCGTTATGTACCGGCAAGTTGCACAAGTGAACTTCAACCCCTAGATTTGTCTGGAAACGAAGATTTTAAACGCTCTGTAAAACATAAGTTTCAAGAGTGGTATTCAGAATGTGTTGAAGATTCGTTAAAAAAATGGTAAATCCCTGGAGGAGATAGAGGCTGATCTTCGTCTCACAACAATGAAGCCACTTCATGCCAAATGGCTTGTTACTGCACACCAAAGTGTTTCTGTAGAAGCAATTAAGTGTGGTTGGGAAAAAACTGGAATTTTGGATGCAGTTACAAAAGTGTGTAGATCATAAAAAGGGCTAATCAGTATTTTAAGTGTGTTTACCAATTTTAGAGAGCAGAGGTGGATTTTAGGACTCATCATGCTCATTGTACCTGTATTTTACAAAGATTGACACTGCTATAAAATAAAGATTTTAAACTTTTTGTTTTAACAAAATAATCTTTCAGTTACTTATAATTACCGTATACTTGGTAATTAAAAACAATTAATTTAAGACTTTCTGATTCAGGGAGGTAAATCGTGTGTAATTATATGTTAGAATAATGTTGCATAACCCATACCTTACACTGTCAGGTGGACATGATTAAAATTATTAACTTATGCGGGTCGACACAGTTATACCTGAATGGTCCAAGTAACAAGCTCATTTTATATTGAATTTGTAATGATTTTAGAAAAAAAAAATTTATCATGGATATATTATATTTACAAGTATCTATATAATGTCTGGTGAAATACGCAACAACTAAATTGGGCTAAATGTCCGAGACCTGAAGTAATGGCGGATCGAATGAAAGCATCATGTCGTATCTATTTATTAACGGTAATCATGAATTAGCGCATCGGTCTTTGCGCCAAAGCCGCTAAAATATGAAGCCCTCTTGTTAAAGTACACATACAGTATGTTGTTAGCTGCTTGTTTATCTTTATTTATATATCTAATATCTAGCTATATTTCAAGATGTTACATTACAAAAGTTATATGAAGTAGGGCCTAAACATGCCAGAAAACTGTATACAAGAATTTTCCAGGAATACAATCATTCACACATGTATTGTAATGTCATTATATCTGCTTCAATAAAAAATAAATAAGTTAAAAAGCATATGCTGTCTTGTATTAAAGATGTCGAGACATGTTTAAGATAAAAGTAAACAGATGTCTACATCAGTTACTGTAAAGATGCTACTTACAACTTTTTAAGGAACATCTCCAATTTGACAGATGCAGCTTCATGCATATTTCTGAGCTTCTTCAATTCTCGCACATGAAGAGCCTACAAATATAACACAAAATTTCATCACAAATAGTATTATATTAAAGTCTACAACATAAATTATACCCTCAAAACAAGATACAGAGGGGTTAAAATTTTCATAAGTAAGATACAACATGTGAACTATGAGTAAGTGTAGTAAGCATCTCTCTCCCTCTCAGAGAGAGAGAGAGAGAGAGAGAGAGAGAGAGAGAACTATTTATGTCATACACGATTGTGGGAACTAGAAACCCTCCTGGGTGATGCTACCAATCCTTACATGTTTCAGTGTTTTACTGTGTGATCCTACCAATCCTTACATGTTTCAGTGTTTTACTGTGTGATCCTACCAATCCTTACATGTTTCAGTGTTTTACTGTGTGATCCTACCAATCCTTACATGTTTCATTGTTTTACTGGGTGATCCTACCAATCCTTACATGTTTCAGTGTTTTACTGGGTGATCCTACTAATCCTTACATGCTTCAGTGTTTTAATGGGTGATCCTACCAATCCTTACATGTTTCAGTTTTTTACTGGGTGATTCTACCAATCCTTACATGTTTCAGTGTTTTACTGAGTGATCATACCAGTCCTTACATGTTTCAGTTTTTTACTGGGTGATTCTACCAATCTTTACATGTTCAGTGCTTTACCCTGTGATTCTACCAATCCTTACATGTTTCAGTGTTTTACTGTGGGATCATACCAGTCCTTACATGTTACAATGTTTACTGGGTGATCCTACCAATCCTTACATGTTTCAGTGTTTTACTAAGTACATCCTTCACATGCTCTTTCTTCTGCTTCTCTTTTTTCTCGGATTTCTCCTTTTCTGAGATGTTTGTTGTTATGGCAACATCAAGGGCAGTTTGGAATTCCTCCACAAAATTGGTTAGAGTTGTCAGGGACTCCTCAATCTGTAATCAACAGATATTGAATATCAGTATTTAATAGTTTTCAATGTTATCAAATAGTAGTTAGGGACAAAGATAGATAAGATCACTTACCTCTGGTAATATATAAGTTGCTATATCTTGTTTTTGATCTGGTCCCATCAGCATTAACTGGTATTCAAAGACTTCAAAAAATTCTTGTACTTGTTTAATAAACATTGGTAATCTGGAAGGAGATAAGTATATGTAAGTATTCTGTCTTTTACATATGAAAATTTAATTGTACAGTTGAAAGTCCTGTTTTATTACCTGGAATGTGCATATTTAATGATATCATGTCTTTCTTCCTGAGGTAGTTCCCCACTTCTCCTGGCAAACAAGTCACACAGAATCACCAGCTTAGAACATGCTGTCAAAATTATAATTCATTACATTCCACTATTCTAATAGTGAAAACATGATTCAGTAACTTAAAATTGGCTATCTAAAGAACTACATATAAAACAAGAGGCCCATGGGCCACAATGCTCATCTAAGTAACTTTTAGCACTGCTGTTCTTCAGAAGATTTTTAAAAAGATTTTTATATTCCCATTAAAAATTGTGATCCCCATATTATTGCCTAAAAGTCCCAACAGATCTCTAAATCCACAAAACAATGGGATGCTTCAATATCAATATGACTACATGGCCGTGCAGCTTTGCAGAAGAAAATTCTTTTCTTGTATACAAGCATTACATAAAATTTGATTCTGATTTTAACCAACTCCAGGTCCATCATCTGAGGAGAAGACAAATTTAATCCACACAAGTTGAGAATGTTTGCAAATTATTGGTTCTATTGTGGTTCTTACAAAGATTTTTTAAATTTTTTTTTCTTATATACAATAATCCAATGTTAAACTTTGATCCCCTATTGTGACCCCACCTTAACCCAAAGGGCCATGATTTGAACAATTTAGAATCTACAATACCCTTTGAAATCGAAGATGAATCAGTCCCCTACTTACAATATAAATGGATTAAAATTAATGTTTTGTAAAAATTAGTTTTCAATTTATTTCATTTTATTGAATCTAGCAGTTTTATAAATTATTCTGCTTTTTCTTTTTGTTATAGTATGCAGGGTTGCAAATAACATTAAAACCTTAGGGGCCATACTGGCCCCCAACTTTACAAATTTTACTAGCCCACATTGATATTTTGAGGTCCACAATTTTCTCACCACTTAGTACAAAAAAAAATCTCTCGATCTTTCTGTATCCTAATCTCTACAGTCTTTCATTCCATGATAATTTAATGAAAATGCATGAAATTTTGTTTTCCTTCATTTCTCAAATATATAGCATTGAGGTGGTACAGTCTAGAAAACTTTTTGTAGGAAGGAAACAGGGAAAATGAGAGTGCATGTAATTGTACAACCAAGGTATGGTCGTGTTCTGAAAAAAGTTTTGATAAAATTTCTACTAGCCATGTGGGCGATTGCATCCTTGATAACTTGTTGTCCACAAGATTACCAGCATTTGCTATTGGGCCAGTGGTTATTTGCAACCCCCAATATGTATTTGCATCACCAGCTCAGGGATCAACATAACGGTTGTCCGATTGCCCAGGGCAAGTAAAATCTCAGTTCGGGCAAGTGAAACTGTCAACATACTTGTCCGATCAGGCAAGTGAATTTTTCTGATAGAAATGTAGATTAAATTAGTTTATAAATAAAACAATTAATTAAAAAATTGATTTCCACCAGGTACGTGCCTGACATCGTTTTTGCATTCGGAATCCCTCGGTAGCATTCTATATTATAATTTCATTTAAAAGTGGGGTTCTTATTGTTTTCTTTCATGGTAATTATGCTCTATGTCTAACAACTCTGTTGCCTACTTATTAGCAAATATTAAAATTACTTATTCACTCAAAGAATATAAGTAACACAAGGTATGTATGTTTCATAGCAAGTGTCTACCTTTAGTTATCTCGAAAATCAAAATTCAGAGAAGGATCTTCCCAAAAATAATTTTTACAAGTATAAATTTTATTAGTAAAGAAAACAAGAAGGGTTGGGTTCTTGCTGGATGGCAGTGTGTGTTTCCAGGTTAGATTGACAAGGACAGTGGTAAACACTGAATTTCATGTACAAACATAGCACTGAATTGTTTTTTCATGTAGCTCAACCTGCCAAATAGACAGTTAGTGTATCTGGTCATACTTTTTTTTATCATATAGACATTTCCAGCAATGATTTAAGCTATTTTCTTCTTTCTTAAATTTGGGCAACCAAGTTTTGCAGTTGGGCAAGTCAAAGTTTGAGATTACTTGGCCTTCGGGCAAGTGAATCTAAAAGTTAAAATGTCTATCCCTGCAGCTCTGATAACAGTAATGTTTTGTGAGGGGAAATTATTTTTCCAGGCTGCCATCCTTTAAAAAATAAACATATTTGTATAAATTGAAATTATATTATAAATAAACACTAACATAAATTTTATCTGCAAAATTTGTGAATGAAAAAGCTTTATACATGTGATAAGATGACAATTCAACTTGTATTGTAAAGGTAAGTTTATTTGTCCTCGCCATGTATTCCTTCCTGTCATCATTCTTAATTTTGTCATGTTTACAGATTTTGCAGATTTTCTATTGATGACATTTCAAATATACAAGGCTTAGTATCCAACTTCATATCAACAAAATAAGTGATTTTTGGTTGTCCAGAACATAGAAAAGCTAGTTTGTATCATGTATATTTAAGTAAGATAAATGTAAACAGCTGATCAGCCAATGTCACCTTTGACGTCACACGATCAAATGATCGCTATCTAATTAACTTGGATTTTCTATTCAGGGGTTTTCATCTGACTCAATAAGTGTTTAATTACTGCACTGTATCAGCAGTAAAAGCACAACTTTTATAAACTGTGATCATAAGGAACATGATACGCTTTTAATTTCAAGTAATTGAGAAACATGCGATAAATCATCTGTAATGATTAGTAACCATGTTAAATTATTTAAAATTATGCAGGCAATATTCTTGTTACATTAACATCAAATGCTTGGATGTATACTACACTTGAATTATCAAAATACACATGATAAGTGTGATTGTTCTCTCACCTACAGCCCCTTCTCGGGTTGTCTGTTTGATAACATAACACAACTTCTGAGGATTGGCAACCAAGGCATACTCTGGCATCACTCCTTTACTATGAGGCTTCTTACATTTGAAGAGGTCTATGATTCTGTTGGCACATGCATGCATATCATCAATTAGACTTACTATTTCTGCAAAGAGAAAAGGATATGCAAGATTGTAAAATTTACACAATTGGTTACATTTCAGTCAACGAACATAAATAAGGGCATATGAAATTTAGCATATTAACTCTCCTATTCAACATAATAGTGCACTCATTAATTTGCTCACTTGAGTTTTGAAAACAGCAAGTTTGAGTTTAAATCATGTATTAGTGTGTACATGACTTAGCGAACATAAAGCAGCAAGAAAGCTGCTAAAATATGACTACCACTATAATAAGTACATTTACAGTACTGTATATAAACATACGTATAATTAGTTTTAAACCTGGCAATGACACTTATAAACTTACGATGTTTTAGAGCTGTATTCCGTAAGAATGTTTGACAGAGAACAGTGAAAGCATTAAACTCTGGCATGTGTTCCAGCACTTTGATACAATCCTTTGCTGTGTCCTCCGATAATCCCGAAGGCAAACATTCATTGTACAGATAATGGAAAATGGTGGTCAAAATGTTGTCAGCCATACCATTAAGAGGAGATGAATTCCAGTCATGTTGAGGGATGGATAGATTCAGGATCACAGAATGTAATTTAAACTAAGACAAAGACATGTATATTGGATATTTACAATATTGTACTGTCATAATTACAGACCTGTTTACCCATATTGTTGTCTCTCAGTATTTTTTATTAGATTTGTCTGTGAGATTTGGCATTTGCGAGTAAGATTTCACTTTCCACCGATTTTACATACATTGCTAGACAATCTAATTAAAATTAGATGTTCCGAATCCGCTACCGCTTCTCAAACATCTAACAACATCCCATTCGGGGTCACGTCAGAACGACCTTTCGATTACCCAATGAAATCGCCATCGTCGAAATCTTGGCTTATAGTTCGGATGCGTTTCTTTTTTTACTGCCAAACCTAAACGCCCGAGGGGTTTCGTAGTAAACAAAATATGCATGGTAAAGACCGTGCTATATATGAATGTGACGTGCGGGATATATAGTAGTTTGTGCATTTTCGTTTGCGTTATTCAGGTAAGAATGCCAGATTGGCGGACTATACATTCAATTTATACCAAAATTATTTTAATTCAACGTAAGACAGTCTACAGAGCATCAATAATATAGAGATGTAGCCGTGGAACTAATTTTAGAATTGAATACAGAAGGTTGAATCTGATTGGCCAAAATTTTTATGCTTATTCATAATCGAAAGGTCGCTCTGACGTGACCCCGAATGGGATGTTGTTAGATGTTTGAGAAGCGGTAGCGGATTCGGAACATCTAATTTTAATTAGATTGATTGCTAGAGAACAACTACATTTCTGATTACCATTTCTGTCATTATTTAAATCACCGCGTTTTGGCAACCCGACAACACTGAAGTGTATTGAAATATTTCTCTTTTTTAGCTATTAAAAAGCGTCAAACTTAGACATATCATAACGAGAACTAACTGCTAAAATCCAAACGAATGGATTTCCGATTTCCGTATTTTCATAATTGCAAGACGTGAGACGTATTTTGGACTCAAAATCCATACAAAATACGGCCAAATTGTAAGAGTAAACAGGTCTGTAATTAGGATTAAAGAATGTAACTTAAAACTGAAATAAAGAGATACTGAATATTTTACATTATTGTACTGACATCAGGGGTGTGCAATTAGCATCGCCCGACGCCCGGGGCTACCATTTTTTGGGGTCGGGCTAGTTGTTCTCTGCATGCAGGTAGCCCCTTGGGCTAGTAAAAATTAAAAATACCAATGTTATAAATGAAAATCACTACTGGTATTTTCACTTAATTTTTGCTATTAAATTCCCAACCAATGAAAAATTTCCAGGCAGATTGCTCCTATTGTTCGTAAATCTCCATAAACTTATCCATTTTGCAGCACTTCCTGACTTATTTACTTCCAAAAACGATCGTTTTTTTCCTAATCCGAATTTCCTCCATTCATGTGTTTATGGTAAATTAAGGCAGATATCTATTATTTACGATCACTCAATCAACTGAAAGATAAGTATTATGTGATTTACGTGTACATAAAATATATTTCCAGTGTATTTAATAATTTAAGATAAATAAAAAAACGATTTCACTTCGTTTTACATGAGCTAGTGCAATATACACAGAGAAAAGGAAAAAAAATAATTTATTTAAATTCATTTTATTTTCTATCATAATTATTAATTTATACATGATTCAATTTTACTAGTGAGAATAAAACTTTAATTTTAAAAAGAATTACCTTAAACCCCTGACTTTTTCAACAATAATTTATTTTTTCGTAGTTGTTACTTTTCCCACCTACATTTGGGCTAGTAACTTTTTACTTGGGGCTAGTAACTTTACTGCTGCCACTAGCCCGTGGGCTAGTACTTGATATTTTTAATTGCACACCCCTGGACATATTTAGGATTACAGAATGTAAATTAAATTGAAAGAGAGATTCGGGATTATACAAAGTACTTAAGCTGAAATAAAGTGATAGATCCTATATATCATGTAAAAATTATCAATTCTATCCAAATTAACAAATTAGTCCCTTCCGAAAAGGAAGTCTTTAAGAAATTCTATTTACCTCCCTGCCACTCTTTGATTTAATCACCAGATCAGAGAAGAATCCTTCCTCCAAGGCAGGCATAAAACAATAGGAACTGTCCAATTCCACATCTTCTGATTTTATCTGAAAATATATTTACCACATCTTTAGAATATTATTCTCTCTTATTAAAGCACTAATACATTTATATGAATTGAACTATTTAATTCTAGACTAATACTCTGTTATAACTTAATACAGATCTGACAGAAATGTAACACATTCACAATGGTACACAGAAAAAAATCCATAAGAATTAGTTTACATTGTCCAATCAAGTGTTTTGCTTCTCCTAAGTTTTATAAACTTATAAAATTCTAATACCTTCTGACATTGAAGAATACAACATCGTTCACATGTTAGCAGCATCAGATCCTCTGATGTTTCCACTTTGAATTCAATGACATGTTCAGCACAGGTTCCAAAAAACTTCAGTGATATGACATCACATTCATGCCTCCCTTTTATGGGCCTAATTCTCTTAACAAACTATAATGACAAAGCCATTAAAAAAAACAAATCTGACTTATAGGCATATAGTGTTTTTTTTTCTAATTTAAGAATACATTGTAAATACAAGTATAATATTATTAATAAATATTTCAGATGTATTAAAATGATTACAAACCTCGTAAGTATCGGAGTTAAAGAATGGCATGATTTCTGATCCATCTGGTACCTTCCATGAAACATCATTGTTTTCATACAAATGAAACTGACACCTGTAAAAAATATTGAAGACTTGTAAAGTCACTGAATGTGAAAGACCAATGTGACAAACAAAGGGTTGCTTTGTTTTTAGGGATTTACAAAAGCAACTTCAAACTAGAAACTTTATTATTGCAAGCAAAAGGGTATGTCTCCCCATACTGACCAGAATGGTGCAATATCAGAGTTGAAATCAGGCTGCAGTATGAAGTGAATTTAATATCACATTATTCTATTACAATAATATTAATTCTATTCACTAAAAGTTGATACACAGAAATATGCATATCTAACATGGTGTAATATAGTATATCAACAAATTACAAAATAAGTGAGAGTGGAAATGCCTATGTGGTTGGGCAATTTCCATTATACCTAGCAAAAACATGCCACATATACCTTAGTTGCATGTACCTTCCTTGTTGTAATAATGTTGCGGGAATCCCGGCCCCTCCCCCAGATTTGAAAAATTCCTGAATCTCTGTATGAAACTGCACTGAACAGTGCCATACATAACTACCAAGGCCCTTTGATTTACCACAGTGATGATTAATGTCATAATAAACAAATCAATAATTACTATGGTTATAAATTCATTATGAAAAAACCATCTTATGATACACAAAAAATAATAATGTTCAACAAGAGACATACGGTATATGTTAGAGTTATTTAAGTCTTTGTACTACCCCTACTCTGTCTTTCAAATTTACTTTTCGTTCTCGGAAATGACGGAGTAATTACAACTGATTAACATTTCAACATAAAGTGAACAACAACAAAGACCATCCAAAGCAGTGAGATAAATCATGATTTAGATAAGAAGAATGCAATTATCTACCATTTGTATAACCACGTAGAGTATCAACAATGTGAACTCCTCTTATAGCATGCCAATCCAGATGTAAATTAAAATTTATTTTATAATTTTTCTTCTCCAGAAAAATGGGTGAGTTAAAATTTTGATGAAAAATATTAATGCACTCAGCTTGTCAAAAATAAAATCTCTACATTCCATTGTTCAAAGAATAAAAGAATGACAGGTGGTCAGACAGGACAAAAACCTAAACACACCTAACCCTCACTCCCAATCTTCTATCTTAGAGCATAAAAATTGTTTAAGACAGGATAGGGATTCTTGAGCCTTATCAATGCATAAACACTTCTGGTCTTCAACACCCTTTCACTTTCACAAAAATTTCAAATTGCCGAGAGACTGAATTCATATACATTTATCCTCTAAAAAAGGATCAAAAAGCATCATGTAAAGTACATGTAAAATTGTTCCAAAGATCTTTTTTTAATAAAATGAATTTATACTTGGGTCACTCAACCTTCTCTCAGAAAAGGCTGGGGCAGGGTGAAGTTTTGTAATCATTCATTTTCCTCACAAATATGCCATGGGCAAATTCTCAGAAACTCATTTTATAAATGTATTTACTCTTTTATCATTGAATTTTAATATGTAATGTCTTGTATTTGAGCATCTAAAGCCATTTTTAAGGATACACTTAATTTCTATTTCAATGAAAATGTCACACACATGTAACACGATTTTAGTTTTTGTATGTTTATAAGTAAGTAATTCTGACAATAATAGCATCATTTTAGATAACCCATACTGGGCTAAAGAATCTAGATCCTGTCATTCTTTTCCTACATTGAAACATTCTTTCAAGTGAAACAACTGATTTTATTAACCATTAGTTTCTATTGAATTATGTTCAAGCAAAACTGCTGTAGATGATATCAAATAAAAATTTCTGTGTAACCTATTTTCTTCCCTGGCAAAAATGGTAACTTCTTAGAAAACTGATAACTATCCCAAGTCCTTGTGAACTGTATAATGGGCTTGCAACTTCCTTCATTTATTTCACTGCCATAACTAAATTCAGGTGAGTAAAAGTAAGCGTTAAAGCTGTCACTCCCTAAATTTTACAAACAAGTATACTGTTACGGAAGTCTTAGTCATAAAGGTAATGTTTACAATTTTCCCGCTAAACCTTCATAGATAATTTTCTATTTTTAGATACGACTCATTATCCCTTTTTCGGGACATAAATTTTGTAATCTTTAACAATTTAAAAATTTAATAAAAAGTACACAATAAACAAAAGAAATAAACAAAAATAGGTTAAAAATCAATAAAATACGCTGTTATAAATAAACGCACCCTTCTATTCCACTGGTGTCAACTGATCCTGCCAAAGACACGCATTCAACAATCTGCAAGAGAAAAAGAATGCAATTTAAAAAAAAAAAACTTTCAATTTATCACGAGAATGTGGATATGAGTTAACTTGTGCCATGCCTTCCACGTTCCATAATATTTTTCCTCGGCAGAACTTGCATCCCTGCTGCTGTTCGCCATGTTTACAATGGATACGCATGCGTACTTGCTACATTTGGTATTAAGTTGTCCCTTAACAATTTCGTACCCAATATTTATCGTCTAGTTCACTGAAGATTTCTCAGCTTACAACCAACTTCGAAAATCGGTTAAAGTATAATTCATTTTTAAGTGAGCAAAATAATTGCTGTAGTTTCTTGCAAGTTTTGTTGAGCAAAATTCATTTCAAGACAGGAACTGCACACGTAATTTTATAAGGATACCTAGTCTACCTTCTGCTATTAATCGGCGATACTTTTAAGGCACCGCCTCATATTCCAAATTGATTTCATTTTTGTCTTCTACCATCTTTTCTTTTCCATTCTCCTCCCTATCATTGAAAAAAAGATTTCATCATCTCGAATCTAGTACCTTGCTGACTTGTGAAGCAATTCAGTAGATCTATGTATGTAAATAAAGCAGAATTAAGAAACCATTTTTTTGCAATGTTGACTTTTGACAAAATAGCCTTTCCTTAGCATAGGAGCTTGTCTTCCGATTGTTAAATGTAAAATAAATTAATAAAATTTTGATTCTACTTTAAATGCACTTAAAAAGTTGTTAAATTATATGGAATTCCGTATACGACAGCCAACTGCTTACTGCCAGCTGCTCACTGCTTACTGCCAACTGCTTACTGCTTATAGATGATATTGCCTATATTTTGATATCTTAATATCTTTAATACGCATGCTTGAATAAATTCTATGACACATTTGAATAATTTTTTTTATATTTATGTAGAAATTTATGTGAAATTTCATTAAAAATAACTTATTTGGAAAATCGAAGAGTTAAGTCTATAATTTTGGTAAAACGTGTGTTTATCACCATACAAATCAACGGAATACGGATATTTATCCCCCCCCCCCCCCGGTGAAACAACAATATGTTTTTACAGGTATTATGAATTGTTATTTTCACAAACTCATACTAAAGGGTTTTTTGTTGTTTCCCGGGGGAGGGGGGTATGTTTACAGACAAAAACAATAAAAATGGTTACATGTATTTTATTACCAATTTCAAATGAGATAACAAGTAAAAAATGTACTTTATTAATCTGATATGCTTCGTCTCAAGCCACGATTCGGAGTCCGCATATAGCTCTTTCCAGGGCGGGAAAGGATCATGAATTTTAGTCGTTGTTTGCGACGATGTCTGATATGTTGAATTTTACATAAGTTAAACATTAATGGTCATTTATCCATTTCCATGAGAATTTGAAAATCTGGTGATGTTTTGAAGCCTGATTTCAATTGATAAAATTATCTAACCCCCTCCCCCCTTACGAAAGGAGTTGTAAATAAGAGCAATTAACTTTTTGACACTGGTTTTAAAATTTTCAATCCATTACTAATGAACTTTTCTTTGCATTCAAACAAGTTTTAATGGCCAAATTCCCATTAATATTTAATCAAATGGATGTAAAATGTAAATGGGAATTAGTGTTAGCGTGTGTAGTCATTACAATATTTTTTTTTAAATGCTGATTTAGGAACTTTGGCGGGGAGGGAGAAGTAAATTGAAAGAATTAGTATTTCCTCTTAAAAATAAAACATTTAATTCCCACATTTCCTCGCTTGCAAATAATTCAATAGCTGTTTTGACGGGGGGGGGGGGGGGAGGGGGGGGTCACATACGACAAAAGAACAAACCTCAAGTAGGGTCTTCATAATTTGGAGGTAACATTTGTTGGTATATGTATTTATACTAGAAATATTACTGAAAATTATAAAAACATAACTTTTGACTAAGGTAAAATATCTAGTAAAGGACAAGGTATGGTAACGGCCGAATCTGGCCTCTTATTTGATGTAAAAATCAGAACACAGAAAAAATTGTGATAGTTTGTAGTTAAGAACTTAAAATGATGCTTGTTTTAAAACCAGCACTAATTTTGATTCAAAGCTTACACGGAGGCCACAAGAGGGTGCAGAAGTAGGACATTTTCCCGAATTTCCTCAATTCTGGTGGAATTTCGTCAAATTTGAGATACTTTTCACTTCAGGAAACATAGAGCACAAGCTTGCATATCTGAGATTTTTATACATAAGATACATCTGATACAAGTGTATGAAATATATAAATTTCATAGATAGGCAAGCTTGTGCTCTATGTTTTCTGAAACAAAATGTGCTGTAAAATCGATGAAAATTTGCAGAAAAATGGGGAAATTCGGAAATTGACATATTTTCTGACCTTCCTGTGACCTCTGTGTATCCCATAACTTAGAACCAAGACTCATTCTGTGACAGGGGTGACAACAGGTTTTTATTGATAAACTATTGCATCATTCTAAAAGACACACCAAACCAGGGGCCAAAAAGGGTTCTTAGCCTATCTTGTCCTTTTTAGTGCTTCTTTTTACCCTATGAAAGGTACCTGTATTTGTGGTTTTTTTTATACATGTCTTATTTAAATCGTTTTAATGGATAATCTTACATTTGTAAAAACATTGGTGGTGGTGGTGGTTGTGGTTGTCCCCAATAAATTTGTAAATTGTCAATGGATTTCTGTTGGGTTGTCAAGCCCCCCTCTCCCGGAAATTGATTTTTGCCTGAGGTCAACTGTTTTCACATGGAATAAAATTATGCATTGTATTATGATTCTTCATTAGTATTTCTGGTATAAATGTGTATACCAACAAATGTTACTCAGGATCCTACATCCCCCCATTTCTGACGTTATATAAGCCTTCAATCCCCCCCCCCTTCAAAAAAGCTATTGAATTATTTGCCTACAAGGAAATGTAGAAATACTCCTTCCTCCTATTAATTCCTTCCTCGCCTTCACCGTTTCAAAATTCCTGAATCTGCCAATTCTTGTTATTATTGTAATATTCTTGCTATCATGGAATTTATTCATGCATGCGTATCTGAGCTAAAAAAAAAAAAAAAAATACGAGATTGAGTGTTGATTAACTTGACATATGTTATTTATTTTCAAATTAAAATTTTCACCGGTTTTGAACTTGAATAACCTCATGTTTCCATAGTTGAATTGATTTTAAACTGTGTCTGTTAATTAAATGCGGAGTCGGTAAATAAATCGGTTATTGTTTTAAATCTCTTATATCTTTGAAACTGATTGTTTTAAATTGTGTAATTTACAGGAAAGTTCTATCTCTATATAAAGTAATAAAATAAATACTAGTAGAAAGATCTTTTTAATTTTTGTTAGTCTGAACTTATAAAAAATATGCCATATAATTATGGCTTTAAAGATATTAAAGATAACAAAACAGGCAATATCTATGAACAGTGGCAGTTGGCATTAAGCAGTGAGCAATTGGCAGTAAGAAGCTGGCAGTAAGCAGTGAGCAGTTGGCAGTAAGCAGTTGACTGTCGTATATGGAAGTCCATAAAATAAAGATTCTGACATTTAATTTTTTTATTTGTTTGAAAGTCTTTTAAAAATACAAATGCAAAAGTCATTCTCCTTTGTGTTTCCTAATACGAGGACTGTCCATAAAGTTTGTAGACTATTGCTTTAATTTTCTGAATAACGACCACACTCCAAATGTGTACGATTTTATTTTGATATAGACCATGATTTAATAAATGCACAATACACACTATTTTACAGAAGTTACAGGTTTAAATAGATTGTATATGCTAGCCACACGGCCCAGTCTAAGCTAGTTTTGGTAAAAATATGGATTTCCATTTCTGGTCACATAATCGTGGGCACACCCTATTTTTTTTCTTTATCATGAGACATTGCTAAGTGTTTGCGATAATATTTACATATACACCATACTGAGTATTTTTTTTTAATTCATAAAAAGATAAACGAAAGGATCTGATGTATTCACAATTTCAAAGGAATTGACCTATGGGAGAGAACAATTTCTCGGAAAAAGTCACATTAAAAAAAAATCAATGTTCATAAGTTGTTTTTTTTTTTTTTTGTTGTTGTTTTTTGTTGTTGTTGTTTTTTTTACTGTGTATGTCTGAATTTTTCAAAGGATAACTGCACTTCAGTCATTCTACGATAAATGGACCAATTCAGAGTAAAAAAAAAAAATGAAAAAAAAATAATTGTTTCGAATAGCAAAATGAACATCATAATTCTCTAAAGGACCTATAGGGAACTTGAAAACAAAAGAATTGTCCACAAATCTGGTATCGTTAACTTTTTACAACAATTTCAAGATACCATTGATTTTATGGCAATGTTACGGAAGTTTATGCTTGATCAAACCTTATTATTTCTTAAATAAAGCTGAATTTGACCAATTTTTCGTTTCTGATGTTAAGTAAATAACTCTAAAGTATGATTCATGAAGTCTCGCATGAATCCCAATGTAAATTAAATTTTCGGGAAAAATATCGTTGCGGAAGTTAATCGTTACGGAAGTTAATTCCCAGCAATAAAAGTTAAAATTCTCTTCAATAGTTAAAATCAAAGTTTGTTTGTAGGATACTAAACAAAAGTATGAAGCATTTCGCCCCCAAAATAATAAAAAAAAAAAAATATACCTTAAATGCAAAAACTTTCCTGAATTACCGTTACGGAAGTTAAATTTTTAAGAGAGACAACTGTTTTTGTCTAACTCATTTTGTTATGTCGAAAATGTGTTCGTGTAAAATAGCTGACTTGCAACTAGAATCGATGATATAAGGTTCCGTGGTCACTTTCAGATAAGTTTCAGTTAATTCTTTTTGAAATCTGCATTCTATGCGTGAAATTTAAAACAAAATCGTTACGGAAATTAATCGATTTTAAGCGACATGCTTAAAAATTCGCATGAAAGGAGATCTACGCATTTCTTTGCGAGAAGTGGTTTGATTTCTTTTTATATAGGATAAGACATTTTTAACATACATTGCATTCT